GGAGGCCCCACCACCTGTATGGGTGAACTGCTGCAAAGACCATATCTTGTGAGCCGGTGATGTGACCCACGTGGGCGAGCAGGAGGCCGTTTGACCTCGAGTGGATCCCCAGCACATATAAGCAGAAGGTGTGGGGGGGGGGGGAATGAAGGAGTGAGCGGGTGTGTGTGTGTGTGTGTGTGCCAGTCCGGGCGGGAGAGCGGCGTGTGTGTGCGCCAGTCAGCAGCTCCTCCATCTCGTCGAGTCGTGCGGGGAACTGCTCGCAAAAGGTGTAGATGTCCTCTGCCATCCCAACCTGCACAGGAGGTGTGAGCAGGAGGGTGTGAGCAGGAGGTGTGAGCAGGAGGTGTGAGCAGGAGGAGGTGTGAGCAGGAGGTGTGAGCAGGAGGAGGTGTGAGCAGGAGGAGGTGTGAGCAGGAGGTGTGAGCAGGAGGTGTGAGCAGGAGGTGTGAGCAGGAGGTGTGAGCAGGAGGTGTGAGCAGGAGGAGGAGTGAGCAGGAGGGTGTGAGCAGGAGGTGTGAGCAGGAGGTGTGAGCAGGAGGAGGTGTGAGCAGGAGGTGTGAGCAGGAGGTGTGAGCAGGAGGAGGTGTGAGCAGGAGGTGTGAGCAGGAGGTGTGAGCAGGAGGTGTGAGCAGGAGGTGTGAGCAGGAGGTGTGAGCAGGAGGAGGTGTGAGCAGGAGGTGTGAGCAGGAGGTGTTAGCAGGAGGTGTGATCAGGAGGTGTGAGCAGGAGGTGTGAGCAGGAGGTGTGAGCAGGAGGTGTGAGCAGGAGGAGGTGTGAGCAGGAGGTGTGAGCAGGAGGTGTGAGCAGGAGGAGGAGTGAGCAGGAGGTGTGAGCAGGAGGAGGTGTGAGCAGGAGGAGGTGTGAGCAGGAGGTGTGAGCAGGAGGAGGTGTGAGCAGGAGGAGGTGTGAGCAGGAGGTGTGAGCAGGAGGTGTGAGCAGGAGGTGTGAGCAGGAGGTGTGAGCAGGAGGTGTGAGCAGGAGGTGAGCAGGAGGAGGTGTGAGCAGGAGGAGGTGTGAGCAGGAGGTGTGAGCAGGAGGTGTGAGCAGGAGGTGTGAGCAGGAGGAGGTGTGAGCAGGAGGTGTGAGCAGGAGGTGTGAGCAGGAGGTGTGAGCAGGAGGAGGTGTGAGCAGGAGGTGTGAGCAGGAGGTGTGAGCAGGAGGTGTGAGCAGGAGGTGTGAGCAGGAGGTGTGAGCAGGAGGTGTGAGCAGGAGGAGG